CACTATATCATAACCTTTAAAGCAGGGCTATTTGTTCTAAGATTCATATTGACATTCAGCCCAATATTTTATATTTTTATTACTGCATCATTCAGAAAACCTGCAAATATCTGCTAATTATGATTAATTGTAGAAGTTACCTGATTGTTTCTGATATATAGCAGGCAATGGTAACAGCTAAACAATACAGGTATTTTCCCAGTCTGTAAGTTTTTTTTCCAGCATGTCCTGTAACATATGCTATAGCTTATCTATCTTCCTCTAGGCAGAGTAACCTCTCTATTGTCCTACAGCTACGAACAGGCACTTAGGTTTTCTTGCTAGCATCTGCTCCATTCCAGAAAAGGAGGAGGCTTCCTTCCATTCTGATAAGCAACATAGTCTGAAGGTTTTATTCAACTTCAGAGAACATCACAACAGGCAATATGGCATCCTACTAATGCTGTGTCTAAGTATGCAACTAAATTATAATTCTTGAATGTAGTATTCTACACAATCACTGCAAACAATGTTCAGCTGAACCTTGAAGCAGTTAGTTGATCATCTTATCCTCTAAAGACAGTAGTTTATGGAAGAATGAACTGCAGACACTGAAGTCTAAATTAAGAAAGCACTTCACATGCTTAACGCTATATTCAGGACAGAAATTAAAGAACATCACTTACTTGGAACATATAGACTAAACATGTTCTTTAACATCAGAGACCCTTAAGACAGAGATGAAATTTACTGTATGTGGATTTAGTTTGTTAAATAGGCTGGTAGTCTGAAACAAGGTATTAACCAGCTCTCAAACAAGCAGTATAATTTTACACTAAGAAAGATAATTTGTTTTTACAAGAAAACTATAAGATACCTGAGACACATTGTTACTACAAAAGCAGTAATACAAAGACATTAATAATGAGATTAATCACAGTCATTACTAATAAGACAATAAAGTTTTCTTATATAGCCTTTAGATTTTTTACTTCCTCTAGATGAAAAACAATTTGTTCTGTAATGTTATTTCAGTTAAGATATGAGATTTTTGCCTCCAGTGTGACTTTCCCCAGCCACAATCAAGAGTTAGTATCACTAGTCCAATACAGTGCTATTAGCTTGACCTGGATAAGCTGGGAGAAGATACACTAAAAATCATGACAGTTATATGAAGTGGTAATCATGGAGCTAAATTATTCGTTCTGCCACCCAATTATTTCTGGTAGCTGACTGCTGTACAAAAGCCGTATCTCTATTTCATGTAGCCTGCATGAGTGGAACAGCTAACCTGCCTTAACGGTCTTCACTTTTCACTTTTAAAACTGAAGAGTCATCTTTCAGTCTGCGTATGTCTTTTCATTGTACTTGTAGAGTGCAGAACACAGGATTAGCCAGACATATATAAGGTGCATTGAATTATCTATGCTAAAATAGAGTTCACTCATTTAAATGACTCAGTTCACTAAGTCCTTGGGGTTTGGTCATAGAGTTAGTATGTATTTTGTCTGCTTTGTGCGTTCAGAGCCGTCCATTTATCGCATGATAAAATTATTAATGAGGGTTATGTGTCACCATGTAAATGCTTTATTTTGTTGCATAAAGTTACAGGTGCCTTTTCTTTCAGCTTTGGTATTCAATTGTCAAGATGCATTTTAGATTCCTAAATTATGTAATCTGATTTAATAAAAACAACTTACAAACCAAGTAAATACACTGACAGAGGCAAAAACATTATTTCATTTATGAAATTTGTTACTAAAGACAGGACTTCACTCAGTGTTCTCACTCATTGCTATTTATCAATGTTTAAGGTTGTAAATGAACAAATAACAGTAAATGCGATTTAGTGTAGAAAGGCAAAGTCACATGGCCTGGATCTTAGTTAATTTATCTTTCATGACAGATTCTATTTTCTGCTTCTAGTATTATTACTCAGCAATATATTTCTCCCATGATAGTGCAACTGTAGCTCCTGCACTGCCAGACTTAGTGGTAGCATTTAATTTGAGTGACAGTATTCAGTTATCAAGAAAAAGTACTGCATGCTGAGAAACACAGTGGCTATTTAATGATAGCACAAAAAATGAGTTCTTATAAGCAAGAGCAATGTCTCAAGTACTTTACCAAAACCACTTTCAGAGGCTGTACTACCCCATTCCTGTTCCTGTTCCTGTCATGGGAACCTGGGCACTCACCAGGCAGGTCTCCAGATGGAGGCTAACTGGTAGATATGCTGAGAGAGTAGACACGTAATGATTTTGACAATTAAATGTCTTATCTTCTCCCTTAAGTAATGGCAGCTGGATAATGTGCAAAGGCTGCAGCACTGAATTATAGGAAAGCTGCACTGAGATCACTGAAGTCATCTAGTCTATTCCCCTTTCCATGTAAGATCAGCTCTACATATGTAATTTTCAACAGAAACTAATCTAATCCATCCTTGGAGATCTACAGGGATGGAGAAGCCATGTAACTCATCATATATTTCTTATATTATACACACGTGGTTTTGTATGACATTCTGATATTCGTACCCATGTTAATTGGAATGCACATATACCCATGGCGTAAGTGACCCAACAATGTAGCTGTAAAACAAATCTCCATGGAGAGTCCTAGCAGAATTCAGCAGGGGCCCATTCTTGACAAAACATCACCTACTACCTTTACCCACAAACTGAAAGACAAAGGTGATGGTTAGCAGTTTTTAGAAGTCACGGAAGCTGGTGGACTGGCAAATGAGACAGATGCTGATTTTAGAGAATGATCTGAATTGTTTGGGAGGGTGGACTGATTTGAATATCCTGTTTTAATACAGATAAATTTGCAATCATGTGTCTAATAAAAAAAAGAGCATAGTTTATACAGACAGGATTGGACAAAGTATTTCAAAATGATGAAACATGAAAAGAAGTCAGGGTCGTGGTAGATAATTAACTGAACATGAGCCTGCAGTAGGATGATGCAATTAGAAAGTGAATGTTAGCCCTGAAGCCTAAGCAGGGAAAATATGAAGTAGGAGTAGGAAGGTGATATTAGTTCTGTTTATAGCAAAAGTAAAATCATCACAGGAATACCATGTGCAGTTCTCATACCCACACTTTAGAAAAAGGATTCTGACAAATCAAAAAGTAGTCAGAAAGTCCTGCAAAAAATGCACTGAGATCTGAAGGACATGCCTTATCATGAAAAGCAAAGAATGAGAAAAGCTGCTTGACTTATCAGAAAGAAAAGCAAGGAAGACTATTACTTACATGTAAAAGATATTCTTGATTGTGGTTGGCTTTCTAGTATAGGGGGAAAAGGCATCACAAAAGACAGTTTGGGGTATTTTTCTTTTGAAAAGAGATATGTAAGATCTAACTGCAAATAAAGCCCTTAAAAAACAAACCCACCCAGTGAATAATTAGTCACATTGACAGCGAGGTGCTGGATGTTCTACTCCATACTGTTATGTCTAAAGGCCTTTCCAGGGATACCACAATTTCAGGAGAAATTACAGACCTGCTGCTGAGACTTATAGCTGAGGTGCTACAAATTGCAGGATCATAATGTTCTCTTTCAGCATCAAAGTATGTGATTAGCTGACTAACATAATTCTAGTTTCTTTCTTTGAATTCTATTAAATCATACGGATGTATACCTGCTGAGGAAGTAGCTCTAAGTCCTCCAAGTTTAAATATAAGACATAATACTGTGCCAGTTTTGTACAGATTTATCCCCACTGAAATCAATAGACTTGTGTTTGAAGATAATCTTGAGAACAGGGAGACTGTAAAGTTGTTTCTGAACTCTGCAATCTGTTCCCACCATGGAAACAGTCATTCAAAAATCACACTGAATCACTGTAACTACAAACAGTAGTTAATTTTGTTTCTACAGAGATTAGTTCTGCTGAATACAGAAAATGACATCCTTCAGTCTGTCATTTTGTTTGTATGTTTTAATATTTGAAATAGTATCTAACCGTTTAAGTGGTCCTGACTGCAAAAACACCAGACCGTGTTTTCAATAAATAATTCCACTTTAATGGCAAAGTAATAATTTAGACAGATACAGTGCGCACACCTGCAAAAAAATAAATGCAAGCTGGTTTACAAGCTAGAGGAACATTAAACCAATAGAAAATACATCATCCAGTTAAGTCCGATGACACCAAATACTTATTATTAGGGCTTTACAAAGACTACAAAACTTTTCAGATGATTTATTTCACTGTTTCTGTCTATTTACATGATATGTTACATCAAAAATGTACAAAATATAAAATGTGTACAGACAAATGTTTCACAAACAATTTCTGAGTTGTAAACTAGGTGGACTCACTGAGATGTATTGCAGGAAATTTTGTACGTGTAATATTGTGTGTTTGTGTGTTAAATACGACAGGAAAAGATTTGCCAGTTTGCTCAGAGCACAGGTACAGGAAAGAGCAGCTTTCCTTCAGTTCTTTGAGTCAGTCAAGGTGTATGCACTGACATTTTGCATCAGAAGTGGATCCAGATTTGGGGGCATGATGTTGGTCTGACTGAATCCTACATGCATAAAATCAGTTAGAGTTTTATTAGGGCAATAGCACCGTGTAGGAACCTCTAGATTCAGTGATGCAGCTCAGTGCCATTTGGAAACTGCATTATCTTTGTTTTACAGCGAGTGACCACAGGGTGGCCACAAAGAGTTAATAGCACCAAATACACATCCTGAAGTTAACATCTGTGGAGGTGTACAGTATATGTCTACACAATGCCAAAGCCCTTAAATACCTTCTTGTTTATATGCACCTATTTTAACCGGATGCCTCTTGTGGTAAAAGAGTGTTTCCGATCATTCTGAGCAGTTTGAATGCAATCTGATTGTAGCCTGCCGTGACATATGCACTTAAAACATTTTCAGATATTTTTCCCCCCAAAATGTATTGGCTTTGTATAGATATTGAAACATGCTGACTGTAGCATTGATAGCTCCTGCATAGTCATAACAACTGTAAGTACAGGACAAACACACCAGGTAATAACAGCTTTTAAGGTTTGCATTCTGTATTTGTTCGCAACATACAGGAAATCTCAGCAAGTGAAACATCTCTTAACACCAACAGAATAAAATACAATTTTGTTTGCTTGTTTGTTTTCGATTTGATTTGTGCAAGGCTTTTTTAATTATTTTTTTTTTTTAAATATTTACAATACCCACCCAGTAGACTGTGCAAAACCAACCCACTTTTACAGTATAAACTCTTCCTCTTCCACAGTGGACATCACTGCTTCAGTGTTCTTTTATGATGAATTCTTCATGTACAACAATAGCAATCAAAACAACATGCTAAAACTAGAAAAAGGAAAAAAACACATATATTTGTGCTCATGCTGCATCAAGTGCATCCAGCTCTGCTGGATAAGAATTCAAAACATCTATCCTCCAAAAATTCCATTCCATGGGACCAAATGGATTTGAGCCGATTTTCTCAGCATTTAGGTGGCAGTGGAAGTGGGTTTGGGTTCCTTGTGTATTTCTGAGGGTAGGCAGAGCAATCTATTCACAAGATAAAAATATTATATAGCAACTGTTCTTTCTCCTATCCGTTACTTTAAAAAATCATGATATACAGATATGAGGCTACTGTGTTAACTGACATTTTCCCATTAGTAAATGAAGAAAAAAACAGTGTTAATTACCAATGGTTTAGGAATTAAACCAACTGTAAAACTGTTCTAGAAATCTGTTTTAAGGCAGTGAGACAGCACCATAAGAAATGTTCCTTCTTTCACTGAAAAGGCTCAAACAAATGAAGCCCTAAAAAGCCTTTAATCAGTGTTGGTTAATAATTGGTATAAAACTGTTGTTAAGGAGTGGGCAGGTGGTTAAAAAAGACCTTTGTGGTAAAAACAACTTTATAAAAACTGTGACTTGTGTACTAAAAACTTGATGGAGAGCATCACCGTGACCATGGCAGTTAGAATTAAATTGGCACTTATCCAGCATATCACAGTCATGTTTTCTGGTGATTGCACAATACTGTTTGTGCTTTCTGAGTTACTATCATCATCTTTGACTTGTTTTGGAATGGGCAGTAGCGTAAAACACAAACACCACTGCAGTCCTGTGACCAGCACCATGTGGCACAACAGAGGTTAGAAGAGAATGAGAAGACCGCATTGTTCATGCAGCACCTCAGGGTAAACTAAAGGAAAAAAAAAAAAACAAACCAGAAGTTGCACTGTAAACTTGTGCAGAGAAACAGAGACAGAGAGACAGACAGAGAGAGAGAAAGAGGAAAAGGGAAAAAAAATATTCCAGTTTGGCTAACACGTGTGCAATCTGCTTAGATGCCCTTGGTCTAGGGCCCTTTCCAGTTGACAAATGGAGTCTCACTTGGCTCCATAGGTATTGAAATGCCTTGAAATTAAACTATTCAAGCTTTCCACTTCAATTTTTCTTCCTGACTTTGCAGTTAGGTCTCCTGCCTACCTACAACACACCATTCTCGCTCAGGGACCTCGGCGTGCTGCTTTAATACTGGCAGTGGTCTAGTGGAAACATATTTTACCATAATCCTCCACTAAGGTTTGTCCCTTTCAGAGAGTTGATTCAAGGGATGAATCCAAAATGTCGTCATGGTGGCTGGTGCTATCACTGTCACAGCTTTGTGCGCTCGAATAGTTGGCTGCCTCTTGAAGCCTCATTAGCATGTTCATCTGAAAGAAGAAAGCAATGTTTACATAGTCTTGTCTCACTTAATGCTGCAGTGAACGTGGTAAAAATTTAATTAAGCTCCTTTGCTGTACGAGTGTGCTGGTATCTAGCTGAGGGGACAATACAAAAGGATTTCAGAAAGGGCAGAGTGTCAGCAGCTCCTCCTGGGACCCTTTTCACTGCCTTCTGGTCTTTAAATAGAAGTTTAAAGGTCCAAAGAGCCACAGGGACACAATGGAGCTGCCTGATAACTCTCTTTAATTCAGGGGTGAGACTGGCTGCAGCTGCAACACCGGCAGGGGAAGGAAGCCATATCACAGCTGGACATCTGGGCCCATATTTGGAGACAGTCAAGCTTCCAGATAATTTTTGGATGACATAGACTCACTACATTGGAAAAGCAACTGAAAACATAATCACATTAACATACCCCCTCTGCAAGAGAGAGACTGGGAGGGAGCGAGAGAGGGGTGGACTGAGGCCAGCTGCTTCATGAAAGAGTCCCATCTGCTGTTGAGAGGCTGACCTCAGCAGGGGAGCAGCAACAGATCCTCCTACCCAGGAGAGGAGAGCCCTCACATAATTTGGGGATTATTAGAACCTGAAACCCATCTAAAAAATCATAAAAAAGCAGGATTAAGCCCCAGAAAATTACTTGGATGCTTGACACCTAACTCTGTATAACGATCAGGATTTTATTTATAAAACATCCACTTCTGCCGGCATGCTCAGAGCTGCAAGCAATGTTGACATTGCTTTAGTGTTTTTCAAGGAACAAATACACTGTCATTACAAAAAAGTAGGCAATAAAAAACCAAAGAGAAAGATGTAATCTTACACGGTCGTGTGTTTCCAGTTTTCTCAGGAATCCTTACATCTATATGGTTTCAACCTGCAGAGTTTGCAAAGCTTTCTCTAGGCATTGAACAGTGTTTAATACTCTTTAATGCTATCAGGTAGCTTTTGCTGAAGGTTTAATAGGTATCCATGTTTGAGAATACAGGATATATGTGGTGGGTGTGCAATACAGCCTGCACTTGAAGTGTCCTGTTTCCACAAGAGCAGTGTCTGTCTCCCCATGAGCTCCACTGGAAGCAGGGGAAAGCTCAACTATCTCAAGTTTCAAGCTTCTGATATTTAGTCAGATACAGATACCAATCACAGTGTGCGGGGAGCAAGGGTGATGGGACACTGAACTCAAGCTACTCAAGTATTTTCACCTTTGTGGAGATGATGCAGGCATGCTGGAAGCCTGGCCAGTACACTCACTGGCAGCCCAAATCACAGAGTCAATCACCCCAAAGCTTGTGGACTAGGAGACAGAGGATCAAATGAGTGATTTTCTACACTTCTTCAGGATGTGAGGTCTGGTTTTGGATACTAAAACCTACAGTGAGGCCAAGGAGTAATTTTCTTAGCACTTATAAGAGTTAAATGCATTTTCCTCTGAGAAATTCCCTTTTCCAGAGGTACAGTTCTCTAAAACGGTATTTTGAATCATGATGAAGGAAGTCTATAGGGAAAGCACTATAAAAGAATAGCAGTTCAATATATGCAATTTTATAGTCCGTTATCAGAGAAGGCAATGGTAAACCCAAATGTCTGGGATTGTATTTAAATAAAACAATGCAGGGCATTGAGGGAAATCAACGTCTTATCTTTTAATGCCACCACACTTGCATTCCTTTTACATTAAGACTGTTACACAGTCATCAGTTATCTTGAAAATTTCTGAGCAATGGGAGGATGGCTGTCTAATTTGCATTTCCACTAAATTCTCATGGTAGACAGGTTAGATAATGCAAGCTTCTTAGTCCCTCATTTGTAAAATGTAGATGAAGGACTTGAAAAGTGTTTTTAGAATAAACTGATTAATAAGTTGCTGAAGAGTGGTACCCAAGCATTATAATGATGAAGACCAGACACATTTCTGGGCATACGGGAAATGGAAGCAATTTAGGGACATATTAATACAATGGTGAAACCTGCCGTCCTGATACATTTTCCTTTTATTTTCAATCTTTTTAATAAATTACAGTAGGATTCATTTTAAAAGCCTATTTTGGAACAGGTACACAGTAGTTTTACACTGTAGAGTGTACAATTTAAAATGTGACAATAAAAGACATACTGAAAAGACTTGTTTACATCTTACCAAGGGATCCCCCTCTGTATCTGTCTGTGGAACATGCTTTGAGGTTGTTCCTTCCTTTGCTGATGCATAACCTTCATAACCAACATCTTCTGGTCTTAACTGAAGTAATGATGGCCACTCATGCTGTAGAGATGCAGAACTCCATGGATAGGTGTCAGCTACCCACTTGGAGGGATCTTCCCAGGGTGCCCTCTTACCGTACATCTATATTATGGATATAACACAGGTAAGTATCCTACAGCATTTTCAGTACCAGTTGTAATAGCAGACAAAAGTAATCAAAACCATCTAAGCCATTTTAATAAGTGGTTTATTTTCAAATGTGCTCAGCATTCAGATATGATGAGACATTCAAAAGACCTCATCTTCATTAATGTTCCTTCAATATGCAGAGTGGCTGCAAGTTGAAAAGCACTCTGTGACTGGTGATACTTGTAGGCAACAGGGTAAGCCACAAGTTCTTGATACAATGTGAAATTAGACCTTTAGGTAATTTGCTTAAGGCATATCAGTGAAATTAACTCAGACCTATCTAAAACATTCAAGTTAATTGGATTTTGTTTGAAGTGAATTAGGAAGTGCCAGTACAGACTGTTCTCTTCTCCTACAAAATGTGATGCAGAAGCAGACATCCATCCACACCTTAAGTCTGTTACAAGGTTAAGAGAAGAAATTCACAAATGATAGGTTTTTCCTACTATGAAGCACAAAAATGCTTATGAATCTGGTAGGACAGTGGAAGGAAGAATAAGAATATTGTAGATTTAGGAGGTCTGGTAGCTTCCTCACTAAAATGCACCCTTCTCCACATTGCTGTTTACAGAGAACATGTTAACCAAGAGCCCCTTGGTTGCTGCTTTACAGATTTCCTTTAGCTGTGACAATGACACATTGGGATGGGGAACCATTCACCAGGGATTTGCGATTTCTCCCAGCTCAAACAGCTTCATGCAATCCAAAGAGCAGCATAATATTGGCAGAGCATACACTCATGGAGCATTTAGATGGGCTTCACTCCTAAAGGGAGTAAACCAGTGAAGGATTTTAGTTCTAAAGCCAGAGATGAGTTGTGCTTATCACTGCAGCACCTGCTCCCAGGCACTTGCTGGATCCAGAGCTCCAGCTTAGGCAGCCAAGTTCCCTATATTATGCACAGAGATACTCAGACTCCTGCCCTATGCTGAGGCTAGACTGCTATAACAGGGATCTGCCTAAATAAACCAAGAGGAAATGTTTCTCAGGGAAGTAGCAGGCTGTAGGCAGCACTTCCCCTCATCTGAGTTTAACAGCGATTCTTTCCTGGAATCTGGAGCAAGGCTTGTAAATTCTGTGTCTGACAAGTGAGTTTGCAAAGTACCAGGCTCGAAAGGCATTTTCTACCAGTTCCTGGTTCCAGGAACATCTAATTATATCATATAAAAGATTTCTGTTTATTATTAATGTTATTATATGGAAGCCATCCAAAGCAGCTAAAAATGGGAACAGTTCATGAAACAGTGTATTTTTTTTCTATATGCTGCCATCTTCTGCTCCAGAACTGAAATTTTCATTTGAGTAGGTATCCTGTATATTTGGGAAAATACTGAGCAATAAAGAATATCACTGCATTTTTATATCTATCTGGTCTAAACAAGCACTGTTAATCTCACTGTGACTGTTACATGAGGTGTTTGGTAGTTTTTTGCACAAGGCATAAACACTCTGCAATTCCCAGAGAGATAAGCAGTTTTAGGAAAGTGTGAGATATTCAATAGGCAAGATTCTAAACCTCCATTGCATTAGTATGTCACTATGTCAATACAAGGCGATAAAGAAACCGCAGCTGCTTACACCCTTTGACTAGTCCATAACAATCCCCTCTGCACTGTGCAGTAATTTCTTTCAGTGTCATGTGTGGCAAAAAACTGCCTTTCCACAAAACATCTTTTCAGGGGACACAGAATCGCAGTGCTTAAAAGAAAAAGGGAGAAAGACAAATAAAGATTGGGAAAAAAAGAGGATTAATTTTAAGATTTAGGTTTGCTCCAAAGATGTGTAATGGTCTGAAATCTTAGCCTAAATGGGAGAGTTTACAGTGCTATATACAGCAAATCTATCTGTAGCCTTCTTTCTATTAAAGTAGAAGAAATGATTCATTAACAATCAATGGAACAGCTGCTAACACCTAGCTCTGGAGAGCAGACGGACTCATGAAGTACTCTGATCTGATGACACTATTACCTAAAATGAGAATTAGAGTTAGGAGAAAACCTCAGCCTGTATAGAGAGAGAAAAAAGAAGAAACAAAACTATGGTAAATACAAGTAGGGATGCAAATTATAAGGGCAAAAAAAGACAGACCTTCATGTTCAGCAGGGTCAAAGAGTAAATGATCTCAATCTGGTTAGATAAGGCCAGAAAACTTTTTTTTTTTTTTTTTTTTCCTGAATGATGAAAATATCCTTGTTCAAAAGCTTTCCTCCACAAGCCTGTGTGCCTACATGTGTACATAGCTGGGAGAGGATTATACAGACCAAAGCTATTTTCTTGTATCAGTGTAAGGGCTATTAACTCTTCCATGCAGGGGTAAACTGAGACTGTCTTGACACAGGGAGGCAATCTGAGCTGTATTTGGCATTGCTGTGAACTCTTTACAGGTGAAAAAGAAGAACCTTTCTCCAGTTACAGAGCAGAAACCCTCTTCATAAAATACAAGATATGCTAGTGCTGGAGCAGACAAAGCCAAATTATTATACATCAGAGTAAGAGCAGGTCAAAAGGAGTTCAAGGCTGATTTCTATAACACTTCCACATATTTTCTTCTTGCAAATACAACAGCATTCATACTTGGATGCATTGGTTGAAAGCAGCTTGGAGAAAGCCTATGAAACTAATTTTTAAAAACTGCCGAGAAACAAATGACATACCTGAAGCCCTTCTCTCACAGCTTCCAGAAGATATGGCACCAGGGAATAGTTCCAGAGGTCTGTGAACCACACTCGGGAGCCATCAACATCCATAGGGCAAGGGAGGAAGAGGCGGGGACCTGAGAAGTCAAGTTGTGTATTAAAAAAAATAGAACTGCTAGTAGAACACACTAAAAAAAATCTTCACAGAAATAAAAAAAAGTAGTATTGGAGCAAACTCAAGTGAAGAGAATACTAATAGAGGACTAAAATAAGGGAGCTACCAGTCTCCTGTTATTAAAAAAGGGCTAGTGTCACTTTATCCAGTTCTAGGGCCTGATGAACACTTACAAGTTTTACAGGCAAAACTATGTAAAAGGATAACTTCTTTGCTAACAAAGCTATTCCACTAAAAGACCTCAGGTACATGTATATCTGCCACCTGCTAGTTTGCTGAACTGACTGTGCAAATGTTTTTATTGCTGTAATTATACTGCAGTATGAAAGCAAGGAAAACATTTAAGCTTAGGAAAGTTGCTATTTAGGTTTTTTTTTTTAAATTAACTTTTTAAAATTATGATCATCTACTTGAAAGTCTATAGCAACCAAGGCAGAAATACCAGAAAACACATACTCTCTCATTAAACCTCCTATTTTCATTTCAATCTTGGCAACCAGACAAATTCCCCACATTGATGTTGTACTTCCAGTTTTGAGATGGAAACTTTTAAAAAGATAATATATCCTTCACTGATAATATATCTGAAATGCTCAGCATGCATCCTTATTTCAAGCCACTCCGCCAATGGACTCACCAATGGTTACATCTGAAGAGCTGTGTGTTTCTAGGAAGCTGTTGAGATGATGCCATGTTTTGGGGATCCAGTCAATGATTTTGATGAGATCATTATTGCGTATGTTCTTTTCTATTTCAGTCTCAATCAGTTTCCTTCTCAGGTATCTGCCCAAGAAACCTTTAACAGGCTCTGTATGATTAGCACACAGCACCCACCTGGGTAGAAAGGATAAATGTCAAGCAGCAATGAATACCAAATACATCATCTCCTCTTAAACATATAGATGAAGGTAATGTCACAAGATTGTGAGTCTTGTTAGTCAGCAAGTATAAAACTGCTCTAATAAACCACATTATTGCCCACCGCTACAACACAGTTGTTAGAGGTTTCAGCAGAAATTAAAGACACTGCTGAAGACCAATGAAATGCAAGAATGCAGTCATCTTCAGCAACTTTCTAGAGGTGTCAGAAAGTATCTTATTTCTTTCACTATTCCCCAACACCACTCAGAGACCCATCAATACAGGAGAGACACAGAAGCTAAAATACTTTGCTGTGAGGATACACAAGATCAATGTTTGTTGAAGAACTGGGCTGGGAAGCAGGGAGCCGTGCAAACATGGCCACAGTAAATACAGAGTGAATGTACCTGAAATTGTGATGCAGCTCCAGATTTGGTGAAGCAGAAACTCCCTGGTTCATGGTTCCAATAATATAGGGACTGAAAAGAGAAAAGTAGTAGGGTTTTTTTGAGGGAGAATCCATTCAGATATTCAGAGAATATTCTTTCTTCTTATCTGCACTAGGAGAATTTTTAAAAAGTCTCTGGATGTATTGTAGCTTTAGATTTAAAATATTTCTGAGGCACCCTTTTTAAAATGTTTATTCTTGTATGACTTCCCCTTCTGCACATTTGTAGTTTACTAGTACTCACCTGTAATAAAGAAACAAATGGGGCAATCCTGTCCTCATGCACCTCATAATTTTGCAGTAGGCTTAGAGTTTTAATTTCAGAAGCCAGTGAATCTCATGAGTAAGGCATAACATGCAGTGATTTTATGAAGGGAAGTCCCTGTGTTGGCACTTTTACAGCAGAAATAGCCAATGTTACAGGCCAGAAAATGTTCCAGAAATCATTATTTTTATTCTCGCTTGACAATAAAGGACAGTTAGCAAACTTCATACTTCTGCAGTGGTACAGGAAAGCTGTAGGAAGTGTAAGTCTGCTAGATATATAGCTGCTTCTGCACGGCATGGTTTATGGGGTTCACACGTATCCCAAATTCCACTATTATAAAGTGCATTTCTTCTCGCTTTCCCATGAGCTGTCCTCATGGTACTAACAGGCTTGTGTGATCTGACAGGGTGAAAGGGATAAAACCCTAATTCATTCAAGCATTTAAATACATTCTTAAATTTTGTGGTACATTTATGTCTCACTGAGATGCATGGGAGTCAAAGTGAATCAGACACCTAAGTACTTGGCTGAAGAGGGTTAAAATTATTCAAGCACGTAAGAGCTTTGCTGACAGCTTGTGGGAGTGTAAGTTTCCACTGGGACATTTTATTTTGCAAAATAAGAAACAGCTTTTACAGTTTTAATAGAAAAAGGTGTGTGAAAGAGGAAAGAAGAGCTATTACCTACCATTTATTATATTTACAGTTGAGGAAACCATTGAAGATGTCACTTAGTGAACTGATGTGGTGGAGGTTATCAAGAATTATGACCACAGGGAGGTCAGCACCATTGTTGTCAGCACTGCATTGCTCAGCTAGGTTTGCCAGGTATTGTCTCAGATCCTTCAGCAGAATTAACAAAAAACCCCAGAAAAGATTAACCCAATTAGACCACAGATGTAATTTCAGTGGAAAAAAATTTCAGAAAGATAGAGGCTGCTGCAGAGTTTTCCCACTGTGGATCATTCAGCTGGATGAGCACAGGCAGGAAGACCTGCTTCTTAGAGAGGGCAACACTGAAGCCACATGCTAGGAAAAACAAAGGCACTAAACATAAGGCAAGTGACTGAAGCATACACATTCCTAATTGGTGGATACATTCCTTAGAAACCTGTTGATAAAATATCTCCAGATGAAAATAGGTTTCAACAAAATATGTAATTTCCAATGGGCTGAGATAGACTAATTGTTGGACTTCCATTCTTATGAATGGCACATTAAAAAACTCCCATCAAATTACCATGCAATTTAGGCATACTGACCCGCTCCTTCAGAGAACTCCTTTCACCACTCTCACTGAAAACCTGTTTGACCTTTTGAGGATACTATATCACACCTCGTTATAAAATTTATTTTGTAAATTCTTTATTTTCTATCAGCTGCCTGTCTGCCATTTAGTGCTGAAGTAAAAGGGAGCTTTCTATAATTAAAACTTTTCATATTTTTCTCAACACCTTGTTGCCCTTGGGGGTCTGGGCTAGTCAAGTTTTACAGCTGTATCTCTAGAGGTATCTAGTTTTGTCAGTGTTGGGAATGTTCAGAATTATGGACAAAGTTCTTATTGCCGTTTTACTTTCTGGATCAGGGATAGAAGAATTTCCCCTTTAATGGGTACATGCAATCTTTTTTTATTTCAAGAAATATTTCTGTTTGACTTTTTATGATCAGGTGTCTCTAGGGGAATATCATGGGTTTCTTCCATGAAATAGCACCATCTGTATTATTCAAACACACTTGGTCTTTGACAATGTTGTTTTTTCTTTTTTACTACAAACTCAAAAGTTCTATATATCTTAATAGAAACAAAGGAAAAGAAAAAAAAACAACAACCAACCCAAAACCCAAAACAAAACCACATACAATAAGCAATTTACCAGAAATCCAAAAACTTGCTCTTTGTGGGACAATTTTCATTATAAATGTATATGACAATGAAAAAACATAAACACATCCCCTGCCAAAGTAAATGGCATCACAAATCCTCTGTATAAAGACAGTGAAAAGTGGTGTTTTTACTGGAATGGTTCTCTCGCCCCTTTGGGATCTGTATGTTCTTCCCTCTTATGTTAACAATGATAACATATGTTAACATTATGTTCTGTGCCAATCAGAAAGCTCTGGGCAAAACCTTTTCATTTCCTTTTCCCTGGGTTAGGGAAGTTAGGAGTACACCCAATTTAGGACAGCAAATGAATAGTATTATCTGTGGCTAGCACAGTAGTCATTCTAGAAGCTTGATAATCTGAGCTAATGTAAATCACTGTGAATGTGACATGATGCATGAGGCAATTTTAGTATGGTCAACTTCCCGACCGATGCACACCAGAAACCATGGAAGCAGTTGTATTTCTCAAGTGCTGATTAAGAAGCTGAACCCAAGACATTAATTCAGAATCCCATTCTGAAATCTTTGCTAACAGTAGGCTGCTATTATCACTATAAAAAAACAAGTACACTAGTATAACTATGTATGCAACCTTACTGACAAAGGAATTACAGACACTCTGAGAATGTAATTTCTATAAGAATTTGACTCTGTATCTGTCCTTAAGGTGGGTTTCCTCAAGTGAGGGAAAAATTCAGACTTTCTTTATAGTGCTTCAGCAGTTGGTTTAGATCAGAAAGATATGGTGCTGTTCCTCACTGGGATTGGAGACTGAATTCATGTATGAAAAATTGCTAACTGAGCAACAAAACACTATGCCAAGTAATAGGATCTGCTCTGCATCCTCACTACAAATTTGGCACTAAGTTATCTTGTCCACTGTAACTTACCTTGCTTGACTTGTGATCTACGTTAAAAGTTGCAATTGCATCCTCAGTTTTTTTTCTGCCAGATTTAGTTATAATATATTCAGCCAGCCTGTTAGCTAAATAGGTCTTTCCTGTGCCACTGGGTCCCGACAGAATAATTCTGCGATGCTCCATCAGTAAATTAAAGTACCGCTGGGTAATTGGCTTAGGAATTAACGTGTCAAACACAAAACTGTCCAAACTGTTTTCTTCCACTCCTAGGAACAAAAGAAAAGAAAAATGGCCTGTCTTCATCTTTGCTAAATTAGGTATAGGTTTGTCCTAGCACTTGATGGCATCAGTGCTATGCTCAAAGCAAGGTAAGATACTTCTGTCTAAATCAAATTCTCATCAAGGGCTTCATTACCATGGAAATGTTTATATCCTCTACAGGGCCAAAAAAATAAACAGTGGTAGTGGGACGAGATGGGTGGGAGAGATTAGATCGAAGTAAATGTGAAGAGAAGACTCAGTGAGGCAAAGATGTGTGTTTCAGACACTACAGGCAACCATGACAAAAAAGGTCAAAGTGACAGTCACAAAGGTTTCCAGTTGTCACATCAATGCATGTACAGTTCTTTTGAAGGCCCCCCTCCCCTCCAATAGAAAATCCCTACAAATATTGAAATGTATTGAATTTTTCCTGCAGAACAGGGTAAAGCATAAATATTTCTCATCATCTCTGTTTTGTTTTGCTTTTTTTTTTACCACTGTTCAGAAATTTGTACTTTGCTGTGATTTAGCAGCCAGGCAGAGAAGAACAGATATTCTTAGATTTGCCTCAAAAATGTCACACAGTGTTAGGTATTGTACAATTTCATACAGAGAGTTTATGTGATAAATGAGTCCTTGAACTGGAGACAAAATACAGAAAGGTCAGGTGTACGAAAAAAAATATATCAAGGGATGGGGGACTGCAGTGAAGAACTCTACAGTATCTGCAAAAATATTATTGGAGTTTTACCTTTCAGGTTCACAGTGATGACATTATTATCTCCAACCAGATATCCACAAGGCAGCAGTTCAGGCACTTCTAGGCTATGGGCTCTAATTATGTCCCCTATACAATAACTAGCAATGCAGTCAGAGCTTAAACCCAGGCTAGTAGTCGGATCCACTCGGAAAATATATTCCTGAAATTATATGAAAACATAAGACATAAAAATAAGAATGGTTATTGAATGAAAGCAGTTGCAGTCACATTCAATAGAGAACTGTCTACAATCATAAAAAAGAACAGCAACATTAAAGTTTAATCGTGGTGTTACCTATGTGTCAAAAAACAAAATAAAACAAAAATTTGGCAAGACAACCCAAAGAATACAGAATTTTTATTAAGTGAAAAAGAAAACAATTAATATTTGAGCTAATTTTTCAGTGTCTTACCTTAAAGAGACGTCTGATTACACCATCTAAGATGTCCCATTTTGTTTTTCCGCTGACTCCAATTGACCCTATCAGATATGCATGTGGGTTTTGATCCTGCAAAGAGAGGTTTTTTGGAAACTGGACTAAAAATGGTGGTAATTAGTTTTCTGTGAAGATTCATAATTTTTCCAATGAAGAAAAGTAATATTATTTAGAATGTGACATTACAACCTTGTTAAAAATCTGTGCCAGAAACAGGTATAGATGCTATTACTTTGGTATGTCTTTATAAGTAAGGAAATACAGTATCTTATTCTGCTCTTTGATTGAATCTGTGTTTATAACAATGCAATTCCAAATTGATTACTTCAGTAGCATATTCATAGATGCACCCTAAGGGGTCCAAGGCATACATCTAGTTTATAACAACTTCTAAATGGAGAGAGCAAGTCTCAGAACATCCTACTACTAATTAAATTGAGAACTGGTAATGTCTGAACCACCACAAAAGCAGGAGGGCATATGACATTAGTCTATGTAGAGTGCTTAACTGTATTGAGCATGGATGGCAGAGAAGAGAGGATATTTCCCTTCAGCCTTTTCTGGCTGAAAGTAGTGAAAGAGTTGAGCTAGTATGTTGCAAGATTTTGCCTTTACAATATAACTCTGCATCTAGACCTGTGGGCAATGAACTTACCTTGGCTTGACTATAGCCCTTGTTTATAGTGACTAAAATTTTCACGCTATGACCTTCTTTGTGGAGTGCTCCATCAGTGACATCATCCAACAAAATATCTACAATAAAAGAAAGGAAGCGAAGTGATCAACCTGACAAATCACATCCATTATATTCACAACATCAGTTCAATATTTGTTCAAAGGATTTTTCTGGTTAAAAATAAAGGTTGCCATCACAACAACTTGCCTTTTCTGTTGGGGATGAAAAAAAGGTTATAATTTGTTAATTTCTGAAGCAATATTAGGAGCTTTATTCATGTAGAAATGAATAGGGAATTCAGATATAAATTAATTCTTGTATTATAGTCTTGCCTTTGTTTTCCTTCTTGGAACTTGTTCAAAATTACCATACATCCACAAAGTAATGTGGTTTAAAACCTAAACTAAGTTTTTATCTTTGGGCACTCGTGCCATTTAGAATGTTGTAAGGAGAAAATCAAGAAATCCTTGATATGTCTGGTAAAACAGCATTTAATTTCTCTTTCCAGCTGATTTCTGTACACATGGCATGGATAGAGCATTTTTTAACCCCCTAACACAGGCTTACAAACCGTTTTTCTTTAGAAAACCACTTTGCAGTCCTCCAGAATATGGGACTCTCTATTAATCCATTCCACTAAGAAAATGTTTAATTTTTCTGGAGATAAAGAGTGGTTCTGATCTGCTCTGTGCCTCTGTTTCTACCTGTTCACTAATTCCTAAAATGAGAAAGCAGGAGGATGTATTTCTTTCTGAAGGCTGAACCTGCATCTTTATTGCAAGGGATAAAACTGCTGTCTTCCTCAAGAAATTCTCTCAGTTGTTTTTACTGTTAGACATTTAAACTATGAAATTAGAAGAGATTATGGATTTGCATTTTCTTCAAAGTCCAGGACAGTAATCCACTACCCTAAGTCCTGCTCATTCTTACTGTGGTGACTGAAGAAAAGCATGGACTTCATGTCATTCTCTACACAAGGTCAGATTTCACCCAAATTAAATGAGTAAGATTCAGCCACTTGTTCAGAGTAAAACCAAAGACAATTTATGAATATGACCTCAATGAATGTATTAAAAAAATAAGTCCTCATGTAACATGTTTGATAATTTACACCCAGATTTAGAAAGCAGATTCTGCTGTTCGTTTTGTTTTGGTTTTCTTTTTTTAAGTGACTGAATGAAGAAGCATTTTTGTTGTGAGCTTAAACAAATCCATGTTTGTTTTATTCCAGGCAGACAGTTTTTGTGTGTCAAACCCAATGAATGTTTCACTTCACTTGTCTTGCATTTTGGCATATTTGACACACCTTAAGAGTTTTGATAATGTCATAGTTCATCTGAAGGCAATTTACAATATAACTGATTCCCCTGTGAAATTTTTCAATCTCTAAATGACCCTCATGTAGCCTTTTAAATACATTCTTCTCTAAGTCTTTGGGAATAAGGAACAACTCTGTGGCTAGAAAAAAATTCCACTTTCTAAGAGCTTTCCCTCTCACTGACACAAGGGGCTGAGAAGGTGCCCAAGGGGGTCTAATTTCATGGTGGTGCTAATTGCTTTAATACCTCCTGCCAGGTCTCCTCCTTAGCTGCACTATGGTGGCTCTGGCTCACTCCTCTGAGCTCTGGCACTCTTTTTCATTAGATACCACAGTCTTGTATTGGTCCTTGTTTGCTGTTCTTTACTCCAGTGACTGACTGAAATATGGGTGTCTGTGACCACCAAGCCCCTTCCCAACTTGCCACTCACACCTCTGGAGGAGATGGTCACACCCGTAGGAAGTGGCAATGCATAGCTTTGGTCATTTCCAGATGACCACAGTCATTTAGAGGCACTGGTTTCCCCAAAAGTGTCAGAGCATTTTTTAATATGGTGAGCTAAAGCCCTCGTTGTCTCTCTCAGCTTAGTCCACACCATGATTAACCTCCCCATATCTCAGGGACTTTTCTTCAGTCGTACACAGCTGCCACAGAAATCCCAGAAGACTCGGTAGGAAGCTGTTATCCAAGTTCTCTGGCATGGCAACAAAATGATACTCACAATGATCAAAAAGGCTGGATCCATAATCAAATTAAATCCTCCACTCCTCATTAGGCACCCTTATTTCTTTAATTTCTTATAACCAAAAGTAATTGCTTTGCATGCTAGAAAAACATTTAGAACCAATAACACAGAAAATTATATAAAGCTTATATTATGTTTAATCTTGTATTTGAGAGTTAGCACCAAATGCCAAAGTGCTAAGAGCTGCTGCTTATGAAAGAGATTCTAGAATTACCATTATGAAAAAAATTCTGGTTTGGTTTGTGGGTTTTGTTTTTTTTTTTTTTTAATGTGCATGGATATGTGAGCAGGAACCATAGTTAAACTTTTTTCCCTGTTTTTGCAACACAATGTTGTATACCGAGGCCCAGCTCAGGTTCATCCATGCTAAAAGTTAAACTTGGCAAAAAAGTAGGCTGGAATGTAAATAAAAAAATATACCAATTTTCATATAAAATCTGATATTAACCAGAAGAAATATTCAAATTTCTGTGTAATCAATGACTGGCAAGATAATACCACTAACTGACAATCCAAATTATAGTCAGGCAGTTTGGCGCATTCCCAGCTGTACTCTTGCCTAGCCTCTTTCTACAATTTTTAGCCACATTTTTATTGCTTCCAGAGACCGCATTATACTTTCTTTGGAGTCTACGCTAATAAGCACTGTTCTGCTTCTCCTCTGTTCCTGGTTCTAATGTTAGAGACAGCACTTCTGTTTCTTGGCTACATTATCAAAACAAGTGTAGAAGCCTTATTATCATAAACTCTATGACATGGAAAATAATGTTCAGGATGTGGACCAAAGTTCTGCTTGCTTTCTCTCATTCATTGAAGATAATGAGAGTGCTTAATAAGCCAGGCAGGGTTTGGCTTCTGTGATAAATGGTGATTTGGTCCAACATAGGCTAACTAGCTATATCATATTAAAAAAATGTAAGGGATAAAGCTAACTGAGACCACCTTCTGCTCCAGCTGCAAACACAAAATGGACTTAAGGGACCTAATCAAATTATAAAAGATCTATAAACTAAAAAAGTAAGTTTCATATACTATGCTCATATTTATCCCACAGGGACAAGAGAACATATCTACACAGTTGTCATGTATACTACAACAGATACTCTCCTGAAAAAAACTGTAAACTAGATGACCAAAGAGTATTGTACACTAGGTATGCAGAAAGTATCGCAGCAAGGAACTAAGCAAACATAATGAAAAATTTGCTACAATTATTCAGAGCCTTCTAAAAGGTACATTTTCAGAAATGACTGTCAGCTTTCTTCCTCATCTCCATTAGTGAATATATATCTGATGTTTACTTGAGTGGTATGAGGTGTTTTAATTTTAAGGCATGCTTCTTATAGTGGCCCATTAAGAGGATGAAAATAGTAAATTCTTACTCTTCGATGAGGCATGCATGTGCCCAAAATATGTTTACCTGATGTAACAGATTCTGTGATGTTTAAATTATTCAGAGAAAGTCCTAGTGACTGCCTTGATGAAGAAGATGATGTGCTGCTTGAAGACTCTGATGACGGCCGGGCAGGCTTTCCAGTATTTCCAGTCTCTGCCTTTAAACGATCATTTTCAGCTTTCAATATCTCAATTTCATTCTGTATTCAAGAGAAATCAACATAAAAGCAGAGGAGGTTATTCTTTTAGAAAACCACTGGGGGTGCCTATTTTGGTGTTTGCTGCAGGAACTAACTGGTTTACCACTTTCGCTGCAGTATGTAGCACTATATATGAAAAGTATAGCACAGTCAGTGAAAACTGAATTGTCTTCACTTCTGAAATGAAGAGAAAAAACCCCTATAACCTTGTTTAACTTATGCCTCAAGACAGTTCTTAAACAACATACGTTTCAAGCTTCTGTGTTTATTGTACAGTTGACCATAATACAAGCGTGGTGAGGATTTTCCCAGCTATCCCCAGTTTTATAAACTACCTTTGATTGTCAAATATCTTAGGTAACAGTCAGTTAAGAAAGCTATTGTTAAAATCTTGGATATGTCAATGTTTCTAAAGTCTTAGAAAATTATTACTGTCATTGCATGTCAAATGTAAGCAGTAACTTCAAGGAGGAAAAATGAAATTAAAAATGGAAAATCAGAAATTGATAGTTTAACAGTTTCATAACTCTCCTTGATATCAGATAAGACTTTCTGATCATTCAAACATGGGATTGTTCACATTACGGCCAGCAAACCCTCTTTGATGAAAACATAGTGTGACAGATGAATCAGAACAACTAGGAATTTTTTTTAGCTAAATCCTCTGTGATGCCAACTGATTACTGAATGTACAATAATAAAATGAAAACTTAGCCTGAGAACATCCTGGTACCAGCTAAACCTAGCTTTCAGTCGCTTCACGAAGCACAGGACAAAGCAACTGCTTATTCTTGCAGATGTTTTTGCACATCAAATTTAATTCCACATTCACTAACACTCCACTAAAGTACTATTCTTTTATGAAGGCTGTACAGCTACAAGTAAAAACATAAGGGATAGCATCACAAAACCCACTTCAACAGCTACAGAAAGATTAGATCACAGAGGCAAAGCTGAGGAGACAGTGAAAAGGAAGGTACAAACCAGCAAAATAGTGACAGAAGGTAATAGATGAATGCACCAGTTCAGCCTGGGGTTCAAATTAGGAGCTATGGTGAAATGAGTCATGCCATCTCCATCTACTCTGCAATTTATGCTGATTAATTACACAACTTTTAGCAGTCTTCAATTCAACTGAGTTTTAGATTTTCAAGGTTCTTTGAAATCACACAGTATTCATATTTCATTCACACCAGTCTTACTTTTCCCCCTTATCAAACCTCATCAGTTCTCCAAAATGTCACAGAGTTTGGCAACTCCAAGGTGGCTGCCTGTCCTTTTGGGAAAACTTTAGAAGTGGTGATTACCAGCAACACCATATGAACTATTTGCCTCTGCCCAGCTTTGGTGCAACTCAAACTTTGGAGGCCTGTGACTACAGCAGACTCCTCCCTCTGGGGAGTTCACCTCGTTTAGGCACTCATATTCCAGTGTAAAACCGTAATCAGCTGATAAGCCTTCACATCCTGTTTCTCCACCATGGCAATTAACTGTATTCTATCCCTTACAGTTCCTAAAAACTTTTTAGGGGCTCCAGATCAAATGCTTTACTTATATCTGGACAATTGAAACCCATATTTATGGATGAGTTCTTGATTATTCTTCTCCCTAAATGTTCAGTCAAATATTCCATAGCAATGTTGGCACCTAGTGGTGTGAACACCTGGGAGGATGGTGGGTACCAGAGACGTTTAAAGGTGTGGCTGGGACTGCTACAGGCATGGTATAAACAGAGGTCTAGAAAAGACAGCAAGCACACCAAATATGGTGGTTATGAAATCAGCTGCTGTGGACATCTATACAAAGTGCCTACAGGTACACCTGACCTAAACACTCAGCACAGAGAATTCAGCTGACAAGCCACTGGGGTTGAATTCAGCTGTGTAAATGTGGGTTTCCAGTGTCATTGTAAAGAGTCTTCCATGGGTAGAATGCTAAACCTTTAAGTCCTGTGCAGATGAAAATACCCGAGGTTGGTTCAAAAGGTAATAGGTGCCTATGCTCTAACAATTTCACCCTCTATACCTATCTTAGGATGATTTTAAGATAGCTCTCTAGGCCTCACTACTGTAGGACTAAAACTCAATTGACTACAATAGGAGTTTATCACCTAGCTCATACCTAGACATCTAAATGTCTCTGTCCTAGTCTCAAACTGAACCCCCACCCTATGGCCTTGATTCTGTTTCCCAAATAGAGGTTTCTAGTGCCTTCGGGGATGTTCTAGGTATCTCACCTGTCATTCCAGAAGGGCTCAGATCTACTGAAGGACCTATGTCATACTGTGTGGATGTTGTAGATACTTTAGGGCACTCAGTGTGATACTAAACACTTGTATGTGGGTAACAGACCTGTGTCCCGTAAAGCTCTGTGATCCACTGGGGAACACTGCCATTCTTTCTGCATCCTTTCAGCCTCATGAAAGGGAAAGTTGTCTGATGAAAAATGTGTTCAGAAAGGATTTGGAGCAAAACAATGTAGTGAAATTTTAGCGATGCTGTATACAATAATTTAGTTCAATTTTACATTCTTTGCTTCGGCAAGCCATGAATTGGTTAGGAATCAGAAATGATGAGAGAGCATGCACATATATCCCCACCACCAACACAGCCTCAGGATTTAAAGCTCTGTAGAAATCACTTCTTGATCTGCTTGTCTGTAATGTTGTTTTCCCCAGTCATAGGGTTTAGTTAACAAATATCCTTTGGGCAGTGATTACAGTGATTATGTCTCCTTCCATACCCCTTAAACATATTTTAGGTATTAATATAAATGCTAAGAACGTCATTATTATGAAGTGAACACTTATCATACCCATCCTTTGGAAGTGCTTTTAATCTAGCAATTTACTTTTATTGACTATTTTTTGGTACCTGAAACATAGTACAGTGAAAGGAAAGACACCAGGCATACCTTTGGTGAGCACCCCTGTCACCACTCAGCTACTGCACTGACCTGCATGCGGTTCATGGCTTCCCGAATCTGATCCAGATGGTGTGCAGAGCTGAGGGCTTCAAGACGAATGTCCGTTAATTTTAGCTCTTTCTCCCTCAGCTCACTCTTTAGCTGAAGAATAATTTCAGCCTCTGCCTCTGTACACTCACAGATCCTAAAGAGGAGCAGGAAAAGAGTTGCGAGATTAAAGGAAGGTTCTCCCCCAAAGCAATGTCATTATTAAATATCAAAGTACAGAAAATGCTTGCTGCTGCTGAAACCTATGAGTGAAGAGAATATCATAGAAACATAAAAATGCTCAAATTGCAAATTAAAAAAGGAAAAAAACCCTCTCCAGGTGAAATGATCAGCTTATACCTCTACAGTTTAGTTAGATAGTTTACTATGGTAAAAAAATCATTGTTAAAAACTTTGAGTGTGTATCACCCATTGGTTTTAGTTTGATTTTATATCTGCATCATTTCTTTGGTGCAAATGTTATGATATACCTAAGTAACAACAGTTAGAAGTATGTTGATTAAACTGTACTACTGATATTTATTATCTGTTAGGTGTCAACAGTTTTCTCTGTTTTGAACAGTAAACAAAGAGATAGTCCTTGACTTCATGATGTACAAGTTTTTGATCTGTAATGGTTTTGATTTGTGATGGTTGACTTTTTGCTGATAGTCTGTCATTTGGTAATGTAAGGTGTCTGAAATCATGCTGGTTGGTTTTGGTTTGTTTTCTTTCAAGACTAGATTAAAAGTAATCACCATGGGATTATTTTTCATGAGAATTAGTTTTAAGGAAAGAAACCATTACACTGTGGGAAGAGATCAAAACATCTCTTACCCAGGGACCCACAGCTGTCCAGTTCTCATTTCAGATTGTTTTGCCTCTCTGTGTCATCATCAGACCTAGATCTGTTGCATAACAGAACCTTTAGAAAATAAAACACTGAATTTTGGCTACATAGTAACACTAAGCATTTTCAGTCAATTCACTCAATGTTATTTGATCTTTATTACTGTCACTATAAAATGTTAATATTTGCAGAACAATTTAAATATGAAAAAGATTTTATAGTAATAAGCATTATTATTGCGATTATTACTACTAATATACAAACAAGAAACAGAGGTCAATTTTTAATTGCCAGAATGCATGCAAATGCATTTTGGGGAAGAAGATGCAGCACTCTTCAGGTCAGCAGTTGGGTATACAACTCCATGCCCCACACTCAATTTTACCGGGATCTATGCTTGTAGACCACGTGACCGTTTTGCCTTTTCTTTGGTGCCCAGACTAGAGATGACCTGCATACACACGTATTAGACAGATGCAATTGAAAGAAAGTAAAGGTAATGGTTTAGAACTATAGGACTCAGGTCAAGAAAATATTTAAAGAAAGCGTAAGCAAAGGGAAGATGAAGAAGTTCATGGCAAATTAAAAAATACGGCAAATTGAAGAAGGATAATAATGAATATTATTCACACCATGTACCAATATTTTAAATGTGAGTAAAAATGAATAAAGACATATACTAGAATTTTTTCCCAATTATGATACAGTTTTTGATTTGATGTGCCCATACCTATGCTAAACAAATAAGAAATGAGATTTTATTTACATGCATGGGTTATCTCATACAACAATGTGAACAACTGGGAAGTCACATATCTAATTGTTGGTTATTTGTGGCTTTTTTGCAGTACATCTTGAGAAGGGATGGAAAAAAAGACCTTCACAAGCCACTTTTAAAGAAGATTAAAATTAAGCAGAAAGAGACTATAGTTGTGGAAGAAGCAGGAATAAGCTGTCTAGACTGGTAAAATAAACAGAATGGAAGCAGAAAGTATGAACTGAATTTTCTTTTGCAGATTCCAGAGCTCCTACAACTGTAAAATTATATAAGAAGATGAGACTTCATCAAAAGGAAGAAAAACAAAAAGTTAGCATTCCTGAGCAGTCACAGAAAGAAGCTCAGAAGCATGACGAGGCTTCAGACAAAGGTTCAAAGTAGTAGAAAGAAGGAGTTTTACTTTTATTTTTGTTACAATATCAGGATTTTTAAATCAATAGGTTACTTTGGGTAGAAGGAGTAAGAAGGATGATCTCTGAACAGAGGCTGCTGACAATTATGAAAAGTCTTGAAGGTGACAGAAGTTTAAATTATGCAGTGGAAAACTGGGTCATTTGAAGAAAGTAACATTATCAGTATAACAGATAAATTAATCTAAATAAATACATTTTATGTGATCTCTCTGTGAAAGGGAAGGAGTCTATGTTATCCTGTATAGAAATATCACAATAATAAAAAATGCAATAATATGATCAGAAAGGTTAGTGTTTAAAAATGTAATGGGGGAATAACCAGAAGGCTGTGAACTGGATAGAGTTTAGGAAGTTAAGGCTCAGAGACCAAATAGCCATAGGAAGACCTTGAGATGAAAGACTAGATATGTAGTTTTGCCCTTGATAAATCCTGGGAACACCAGTACATCTACAGAGCAAGTCAAAGAGACAGAGAAAAAAGCAGTGTTGGTAGAAAGAAAACAGGATATGGTTATGAGAGCAGATCTGTGAATCACGAGTAAATACTTTTGAAGAATAAAAGTGTTTTGTATAAGTTCAGGCACTTTCTATTAAGACCGTTACTAGTGATTGTTAAATTGATAATAAATCAGACTCAAGGGCCCCCAAAATGTAGAAATCCTCCTCCAAAAACACATATATACCTGAAACCACAAAAATGTGATCTTCCTATAAAAAATCCTAACAAAACTAGAGATAGAGATGAGTTATTCCTCACTGGTCTGCACAGAATGTGAAGGGAGAAAAACATTTATTGTGTCAGGGTTTCTTTTGTGGGAATATTTGTTCTCAAACTCCTAAATTTAGTGTATGAAAATCATTAGAGTCTATAAAAAGTTAATCATAAAAGGCACCGTCTAAAGCTCAGTAATCAATCACAAGGCTAGAATTCTCTGGGTGCTTTAAGGAAGGGTAGTTGTGACCCAATTATTCTCAATTAGGACAAGGAAATTAAGGCTAGTGTCAGTAGTAAACATTTGTTGATTCAAAGAGGTTGATTTCCCCAAACTGCAGAATGAAAAAAATATTAGTTTGAAGAATATGAATGGGAGCTGAGAACTCTGTAAGAAGAATATATTAAACATCCAAAATAATGAAAAAATGGGGCAGTTTTTGACTGATGACTTATTCTCAGTCCTGAAACCTTAAAGATGGTGATTTGAATAAAAAATAAAAGTAAAATCACAGCAAAAAAAAAATCCAAGCCGATAAAAAAGGGGAAATAGTTTTAAAAAAACATTCTAAATTAATAGCTACAAAGTAACTAAATAACAGAAGGGATGACTATCTTGTAGAAATTCACAGCTACCTGGAAAATAAAATTACATTTTTAGTATGTCATGAAGAAAGGAAACTCTAGTATTTGGCCTTTACTAAGTGGATATGGTAAATTTGTTAATGGTGCAGGGAGAGCACAACATAAGCTTTTAGATATGCATTTGGAAAGAAATTTGTACTGCTAGATGATTGTGACTAAAGGCTGTGAAAGGAGGAGAGAATAACCTTAAGCAAGAGCTGCTGGAAAAATAGTGTATAAATGGAATGATGCTCATGAGAAATCTGGCAAATGGATGGAGCAGGAGATTAAAAGATCACGAATGTTGGCAATGATTTCTGAACTGAAAATGGCCACACTTGAGGAGCTCTGTTTGACAGTTCATCCTATTCAGGAAGAAAGGTTTGCTAAGAGAAAGACTTACGCAGAAGCTGACTGTGATGGTTTCATTGATGCTGTCCCACACTCTCCTGAGCTGTGGGGCAATTTGGGTGATGAAGGAAGAGAGGAGTCTGTCAGCTCTTCTATGTCCGAATGTGAGGAAGGAGGCTTGGTGGACTTCTTCTTTCCAAAGGCCTGTTTGAAAGAGCTTCTTAGCTGGAAAACAAACATAGAGCAAGATTATCTTCCTTGTCATGGCAATTTGTATGCAGCTCATGTTTCGAAGAGTTAGTTTGCAGATGCCATCCTAGCCACTGCCTGAGGTCAGTATACAGAAGCAAGGTATTAACATATGCAACACAGTATCTCTAAAAACATGATACAGTGCTTTATCTTGACTTTATTAATCCAGCGTAGCGCAAACGTAATGCTATGGAAAAAGTGCAGGATGGAGTGGTACGGCTATGGAAGAGGGGTGCTCATTTAAAACCATTAAGCCCCAGTGGAATCCCATTCCCATGGCATTCCCTTCAAGGGCTGGCTTTAAATAACCACATTGCATCTAGGTACTGGCAGAACCTGCTGTTCCTAAATGCTGAAATCAAAAGTCCAGTTTACTGGGTTTGCCAATTTACTTTCCCCATTAAAAATTTGAATGGCCAAACTATGTAAATGCTGTGGTTTGGATCACAAGTGAGAGGATTTAAGCTGGGACATGAGGCTTGCTTTGTTGTACTGCTGAGAAGAATGTTAGCTGAAAGGTATATACTCTTCGCTGCAGTTTCCTTTAGAGTAGTAAGATCTCTGAATGTACAAGCATTGCCTTTTCCCTCTAGAAGCTCTTATCCAGTATTAAAAAGGGACAGAATAGCCAAAGAGCCATTTATTTCAGGAGCCAAGATGACAGTTTTGTCTGCAGTGAATTTTAACAAGCCCATTTGTTGATACCTTCGTCTAAATACAGAAGTCATTAATCTTAGAAAAAATGTGGTTGTTTTTTGTTTTTATTTTGAGAAAGTTCTGATTAAAATAATATAGAACTCAACGACAAACTGGTTCCTCTATAAAAAATGAGGTATTCAAACACATTATTTTCATTATATAATTGGACAGTGGGGAGTGTGACCACTAATCAGAGAAACATTAAGCCCTTCCCAGCTCATGATATCTAATGAGAAAGAAATGGATTTTGGCTACACTCCCCCTTTCTACAGTCTAAACTTTGAGATTAAAATGAGTAGAGACAAACTGAGAAGACATACAGGATAATCTGTTTTTAGAAGGTATAAGAGCCTACTGCCAAAATAAATAGCAATCATGCCAAGATAGGGTTTTTTATAGATGCATGCCAAATTTTCCATGGTTTATATTCACCTCACTTCCTCTAGAGTTCACCTTGCAGAAACATGAAAGAGTGTGGAATTACAAATCAAGGGAATGAAGGCTGATCAGTATTTTAAAACAAATGTTTAAGCAGGTAATATTTTTAAAACAACAAAAACATTTTTTATTATTTACTGAAAGTATTTGATTAAACCCTTAACACTATGTGGTATTTCTGTGTTCCAGTTGAGAAGCATCTTAATTTCTTAAAAAAACGTACTACTTTTACATGAGAATTTTTAACAGATTTCAACTCCCTTCATAGCTGGCTAACATATTTGAATCAAGCCTTTGACTCAAACTCCAACTGAAGAGAAATCAAACAGGGTTTCAATGTGGCCCAGAGATGGTTTTGATCACAATAGCTATTTTTTTTTTTGTTTTGGTTGGTTTATTTTTTAAATTATCCTGACTTACACAAATAAATGATTGCTGATGTTCAAAAACTTTTAGTTTTCTGGTAGTGTCACAATATGGATACATATGAGTTGCTTCATATTTGTCTGGCCCCACAAGAATATTGTAGATGAAATGGACCATTATGGTACTCAGGCATTAGGAAACAACATAATAGCTAAAAGACAGTTTAAATCTGCTCAGCACTTACCCAGTTTTTCTTTTTCTTTTTCTTGGAGTCAGGGTCATTACCACTGCCAATGCTTGAATGGCTTGTAGCACTGTTGATGCTGGAAACGCTTTCTGAAGAATGTTGCCTCCTTATACGTAAATCTAAGGAAAAGAAATTACTGTGAAATCCATCTGTCTCTGTTTCAATATAATAATCATTCTTGTATTTATGTAGCATGTCCCTCCACAACGGGAGCCTAAATGAACATAAATGGCATTGATGCTTGCAGTGGCTCAGATTCAAGCTATTGCAGCTTGTAAGAAGCCACATGGGGGTCAATGGGGATGCATATAAAATTAGGCTAACACTTCGGAGCTTCTCCAAACTGGGGCCTTGTTGGCATGAAGGCAATGACCCTGCACAGCAATCTATGCAGGCATAACCCCATAGCTAAGCAGTTTCTGTTAGAGACGGATTACTTGATTTATTACTATCACATGTACTATGGTTCTTTTTCTGAGGAGTACAGGCACTACTTGACTTGCAGAAGGCCTAATCAGCGTTCAAATGCTACCTTCTAATATATCATGATGGAAATAAGCAGCTAGGATTTCATTAAAATTGAATGAAACAAAATAACCAAGAAGTGGAGAATATTAGAAATGGTTGGTGAGGCATTTGAGTTTCAATTTCTTAAAAGTCTCTGATAACTCTATCTTAATCACTGGAAAATGTTCTTGCAGAACATACCCAGTAATACCAAGGGAAATTGCTTTTTAGATTATTTTTTACTTCCTAGAAGTTAGCCTTGCTATACTCAAGTCATGCAATGAAATCACCTTAAGGCAAACATCTAAATAATGACCTCTTTAAAGAAAGATCAATGACAGTCCCAAAAATGAATGTTGCTATTATTTCTTTTCTTCAATTCATTCCTTTGCTGTTGCTTATCAACAGGCACTTCTGAAGTATATATTTATCATGTGACATCTGCCTAACTGCAATGACAAATTAATTCAGAATCTGGAATTCAAGATGCCCGCTTTCCTGCAGTCATTTAGCACCTTGTGAAGGAGGTGAGCTGTTGTCAGTCCATCTTTTTAACGATGAGTTCACCAAGTTTCAGAGCTACAACTTAAACTGGATTTCCAAGCTATAACCATAAGACTTCACTAGTGTCTTGGGTGTACTTCAGTACACAACTGCAGTGACAGGGTTAATTCTTAACACCCAGCAATCAATTCCTGGCCACCCAGATCTAAGAAGAGAAGGCTCCAGGAACTCTGACAAACAGGAAGCTTATTCAAGGTTTCCATCTCTGGAAATACCACAAGTATGCCTACCATGAACTGCAGAATGTGCTTGCTCTTGCAACAGAGTCCCCAAAAAACCAGAGAAGCAGTGACAGTTTTTTTCAGGGGTGAAACTATGCAGTTATTTTAATAGTGACAAAAACATACCTTTGTGGGTATGATCGGGACCATTCAAGGCTCCTTGAATAGCAGCTTGTGCAGCAGAATTCTGGGCTTTCAGCATTTCAATGGTTTCCCTTAGCTCTATAAGCTCAGATTCCTGTGGGAAGAGCAAAGAGATCTCAAAATATATGGCACAAGAACAATGTTTGTCTAGGCTAAAAAAATGACAAGATAAGAGTGGTCAAACTGAAGTTCATGGGACTGCTTGGGTGAATATAAGGGCAATAACTAAGCAGAATGCATATTTTCTCTCCAAAGATATTAAACTCAACCAACATTCTTTTGTAGTTACTCTATATAAAGAGATCATGTTATTTTTAAGGAGAACAAAACGTTTTAATAAAGACTAATCTAAAAAAGGTCTCAATTGAATATTTATTATAAAGTTAAGAGAAACCCAACAATTTTATTGTGAAAGAGAATAAAACCATTTGAATTACACCCTTTAGCATGTGACGCTACTGTTTAATGGATAGATCTCAACCTAAATTTGTGTATTTTTCAAAAGTTATAACTTGCTAAACAAAAATTCAGTTGAAAAACCCCAGCAACTGTCCTGCAAGTTGAAGTAAAATTACTCAGCTTAAGTGCAGGAAGTGCAGTATAAGAGTGCACAGTCATTTTTAATTAAAAAATAGGTTTTATTATTTCTGTATTAAACCAGTCTTTCCAGCTTGTATTTATATAATGAGGATTAAAGGAATTTAACCTCAACAATAGAGAAAAGAGGAGAAGAAAAAGAACATGTTCCAAATCCTTTAGGAAATAAATTTAGAGATGATCTGTTTCAATGTCACTGCTTAACCTCTTCTGGAAAGAAAACCTTCTGAGGGAAATTATACTACTATATAGTCAAAAGTTTTGGTCTTGAGAAAATTCCACTGTGTTTTTTTGCTTAAGGTGAAAAAAAGAAAGCAGTGCAAATATTTCCTATGCAGTTCACAATGAGATTCACCATATTTCATCTGTTGGTGCTCAACCAGACTGTGAAATGTTATTTTTATAGACAGCTACACTGAGTCCAGTGGTGACTAATATCCTACTTATATGCAGTTTCTTTCACAGCTTGGCTTAACAAGGCCTTTCTGTTTATAGGACACAGTTCAAAATGAATAAGGACAGAAAGTTGCTGAAGTTCAAACCTGGAAGGTGCTAAGCACCCTCTTAATCCTGAGCTTGGTACAAAGGCTCACATTAAATTTACTACCTATCATCAGGTTTAAGTTTTTTTCCCCAATAGTCAAAACATCACAGTTAAAGCCAAAACTGCTTACTTATGAACAGGATACCAAACCTGTATTAACTCTCTGAATGGACTAATTTTTCTCTATTTAAAGTTCTCTCCTTCCCATAATTCTATTATCCTGACAACGTTGTCAGGCTGGAATGAAGCACTCCAGCAGGTTATGATCTGTCTTTGTTACAGGATCTTTCAGTACAGATTAAACCTACAGTTGCATATGTTTAAATTAAAATCTGGAAACTGAAGATTTTATCTTCAAACTATTCTAAGATATTGTCCATGTAAACCTGATGCTGCACGGTTTTATTCTTCTGGAACTTTATGAAGATTTGATCACAATGGCCATTAAAGAAAGCTCTGTCTGTCTTATTGTCACAGCTGTCCCTATTTCCTTTCAGTGTTTTTAAAACAAAACTCTAATATAATCTGCTGACTTTTCCACATTAAAGCATCTGCTTTGGTAAACATACCTTTTGTTCAGCTGTCATTGTTAGACTTTGCAGTCGGCCAGTCATATTTCCCAAGCTTTTTTCAAAAGCTGCTACTAGATGAGCCTGTGAAAGAAACAGAAGACAACATTTGTCAATGGAACAGTCTTCCCAGATCAATTTGTTTTTTAAAAATATTTTTTTCCTTCCAAGCTCATAGAATCATAGAATGGTTTGCATTAGAAGGGCCTTAAAGACCATCTAATTCCAACAACCCTGCCATGGGCAGGGACACCTGTCGCTAGACCAGGTTGCTTAAAGCCCTGTCCAACCTGGTCTTGAACACTTCCAGGGAGGGAGCATCCACCACAACTTCTCTGGGCAACGTGTTCCAGCGCCTCACCATCCTCACAGTGAAGAATTTCTTCCTCATATCTAATTTAAATCTACGCTCTTTCATTTTAAAGCCATGACCCCTTGTCCTATCCCTACACTCCCTGAAAAAGAGTCCCTCCCCATCTTTCCTATAGTCCCCTTTTAAGTACTGGAAGGCCACTATAAGGTCTTCCTGGAGCCTTCTCTTCTCCAGGCTGAACAACCCCAACTCTCTCAGCCTGTCCTCATAAGGGAGGTGCTCCAGCCCCCCGATCATCTTCATGGTTCTCCTCTGGACTTGCTCCAACAGGACCATGCCTTTCTTATGTTGGGGGCCCCAGAGCTGAATGCAGCTCTTTTCTACTAGTTTTAAACTTAGACTGAGCTAACTTGGATAGGTAAAGCAGCCAAGTGAGCCCAGTGTTCCTCAGGCTTCTTTAGCCCCCAAGGAGATTAGCTTGGGTATCTCTGCCCGGAAAAGAATTAAGGATTTAATGCCCTCATTTGAGTTTACTGATATATTGTCCAAAAGAAGTCTGATCCCAAATAAAAGTCCAGAAACAATAATTTTCAATTACTGAACACTTCAAAACAGGAATTCAAGTACTTTATCTTAAAAGGTAAGTTTTAACCTTACAAATAAAACACTCCAAAGGAATCTTGAGACTCTAACAAAAAAATATCACAGTTAGTTTTATAAAAGGTCATTACTTAGTCTATTCATCATATGTTGATTATATATATGTGTTGTGTGTATAAAAGTAATAAAACCCATATAAAATAAAAATATAATATTTAAATATGTGTGCAAATGTATATATAAAAGACAATATTGAAAATTGGAAGTTCTACTTCTCAATAAGAAAAGCAGTAAAGTTGAAACTGATTAAAAAATTAAAAAAAAAAAAAGCTTCATTTTATTTTCTGACAACGCTCATCCTGTAGTCTATGGAAGCAAAACTTCTACAAACAATACACCAACTCTTCATTGGTTTTAACTGACATGGAGCTTTGCAGGCAGAGAATGACAAGTGGTCATAAAGAAACCTACAAACTAAACCAGTTTGTACAGCCAAGGGAAAGTGCGAATTTAATCTTTATTAAATTCCATACAATTCCATCCACTCCTCTCACAACACCAAATAGTAAAAGCAGAAGGAAATACTTATTTTCTCTTTACCATCTCAAAAGTGGTAATAGGCAAAGTTTTCAAACATAGGCATTACAATACACTTGGAAATCTAACTCACAATATCTTTACATGCACAAATGTATTAACTGAGCTTTTTCACTGTGAAAATTTATTTTTTATTATAGCAGTACAGGCACACACTTTAATAATTACTTACATATTAAAAATATCCAGCTGAATGTATTGTGTTTTAATTCCAAAGATGATGACCAGTGACCCAGAACACAGTCAGAGACAACTACCACAGAATTATATTCAAATGTCTCTATGACATGGGTTTAACAGGAAACTAATGGAGCTCAGTGTTCCCTGCCTCATAAAAAAATCTATGGCTTGGCTGATGGCCCATGGTTCTGCTTTACCATGAGAATAACAATGGGGACTAAGGGCTTGAAAAGAGGAATAATTTCCTTAATTATGCATTGCTTTTGTCCATTTCTCACAATTAGACTCTGATAACCACAGTCCTTTGGTACCTAACTATGTATATTTGTGCATAGTGTTTTCCTATTCCATAGCTACAACTTCAGCTTGTATTGTACATGAATAAACCACAAGGAACTTATATGAAAATTAAGGAACACATAGGAAAAGTAAAAACTAATGTCATCAAAGGTCACTGAAACTATTAAGTTATTGTCTGATAGTTTTTAGAGAAAGACAGCCATGTCACAACTATGGATCCTTAATAAAATCCAGCCTGTGATAGAGTACAATTACCTTCTTGGAGTAGCACACTAAAATTTTTGCATCATAGATGTAATTGGATCAAGATGATGGATCCTTCCTGACTCATTTGAGATAATGATTTGCTAATAATAAACAAACATAATTCAAAGGCCCAGCAACTAAAAACTATTCAAGAAAAATCTTTCTATTGCACTGTTCATTACTTCAAATATTTATTACAGAACACTCGTCTATGAAATACAAAGTATCGGTTTTACATTCAGAGTAATAAACTGTGCTGCCTTTCCCCATGGTAGCAAATATTTATTTATTCAGAAGTCTAGGGAAATCTTATGCAGATTTGTCCCAAAAGACATACTATGTAACAAAATAAGAAAAGTTACTTTGAAAAAGGCTAAATTATCAGTATATTTGTACGTCTGTGGAAGCATGCAAGCATACATAAAACATATGTACGCATGCCCATTTAAGATCAGACTTTTAATTTAAGTAGTTAAATGCAACATAATTCAGAAAACAATAGATAGAGAAGAAACTGTGACTTTAAAAATACTCATTAGAAATTAAAACTTGTAATTAGAAATATTTTTAACCTTATAAATTTAGTAGTAGATTTTGATTGGATTGGTAATCCTCAATTTCTGAGGATTGTTTACTTTAGCCAAAAGAATCCATTATTTCATTCTCGTAAAAACATGAGGAATACAATTATTTTTACAGTTACAGTCAATTCCTCACACCTTAGAAATCTGCATTAAGATTCAGTAGTTTCATTCAAGGCATACATCATTTGAATACAATACAAGATAGCCTGAATACTGGATGTTCTTTACATACCACTTATTCTAAAGTAAAACTATAACTTCACAATTCAATGCAGCACTTCTACTTGGAATTAGAATTAAGTAACTGGGCATTACTGGAAGTATGCCTACAGCAAAATATATCCATCTTTAACATGATATACATATTATATACACAGATAATGTACTGCTCTCAATCTATAGATCCATCACATACAGATTAATTTTGATTTCTAGTAACATGAAATTTCCATTGAAAATAGTCAGAGATATATTCTCAGGGAATTACTTCAGAGCTAAGATGACAGATTTGATTTTAACATTTCCTTCTTAGTAAATGATCCCAGCCAGCCAAACCCCAAATACCTCAGCTGTTAAGTTTACAGCTCATCCTAAACAATACGAGTACATCCAAAGACTCTCTGCTGGCACACTTTTCAGTTTGACCTGCGGTGTTCATGTTTTATAAAACAAACGCAAATAAATAAATTTCCTCCCACCTGACACGGCTGAATCAAAGGATGTGTGAGAGGCCAGAAGGGATCGGGCTGATTGCAAGAAGCAACCGTACATCTGGTGACCTTTTCTGTTCGCCGCCTGCTATTATCTTGTTGTTTGGCTGTAGGATAGTGGTTCAGAGCTGGCCAAACAAGAGTATTAGCCAGTGAACCCCCTCCGCTTTCTACTGGCATCCTGGGTATACTACAGTTTGCAAGCATGCACACTTCAGCTTTATACAGTACAAAGCACTGATCAAAGTCCCTCTGAACAGGCTGGGTTCAGGCTGCTCGCTGGAATTTGAGCCCTTGTCAGTCACATAGGAAGTCTGCTGGTTGGACAGTTTCTGCACTGAAAACAGGCCCTTTCTTAATTAGTATTGAGATTTGCCCTTCAGCAACATTGAAAAAGGCACCAGAGGAAATGCCAGAATCTCAGAAAAAAACTGTAAATTAAGTATCCAAACAACAGCTGGGCCCTGCTTGAATTTAATAATATGCAGGCAAAACACTTTGGGGTTAATCAAATGAAATAAACTGCTGAAATTAAGCATAGTACTTGAGCCCAGCCAACAAAATCTGAATAATAAATGAAACCAAATAAGAAAAGTCTTAGCAGAGTTTTCCAAAATACCTGAGAAATGCAATAACTTCCGGTTGACGGATTTTGATATAAAATCATATATCAAGCAAAGACTTGATGAAATAGGTCAAATTTCATCCTGACAGTTTTCTAATGACACATATACTACTGTCACTAACAGTCATCTGTGGTGAAGCAAGTAAAGACATGAATAGTGTTGAGATGAATAAGATGGTCTTTTTTCCACTCACATACAATAATCTTGCTCAGTTCTACAAAGGGAAGTGGTTAGAACAAATTCAAACCTGAGACGAACTGTGAGGGAACAAGATTTCTGGCTATTAAGTTTCCTTCTCCAGACCACTGTGAGGAAAAAAAGTGTTGTCTATTTACAGACACTGTAAGTATGGAAATTTGGAGGAGTTTAGGACTAAGGCTAGAATGAATGCATTTATAGCAAAGGCATCAGAAAGGACTGAATAATTTTCTGGTCAGCAAAGACACCACAGAAGATGTTCTGTTCATACAGTTCTCTGCCTGCCAGAGATGGATATATCTACAAAAAACATAGGCAGTGATCAAACTTTTTTCTGCACTAGACATACTGTTGGTTCAGGTTTTAGCCTATTGGTGAGCAAACATGACTCAAAATGTAGGTCACAGTAATATTATCCATTTAAAGAGTAAAACATGATTTTGATTTCTTCTCTGAGGATAAATTCCATCTTTTGTGATTAGGACTATTTCTCCTTTCAATGCTCGGGGCTGGTGAAATATGTCTCTTAGATAAGGAGATAAATGATAAATGAATACGTACAAGTAAAGCATTGCTAAGACAGTATGAGTTCATGAAAATTAGAAGCTCATCTGGGATTTTCGTAAGTTTGTCAAACTAAATCAAGTATATCTTAGTTACTGTCATAATTTTTATGAAAAGTATATAACTGCTGGCATTTAAATATCAATTCTGTAACTAGACTAAATTTCAAAGGCCATACCACAATTAAAAGTTCTGTACGCTCTGTTTTCAAACTGGATTTTATTCCTGATGTTTCAGTTATACTTCATAGAATTGATATACATAAAGTGCTCAAAGGACTGGCAGAATTACTACCAACACATCTTTTAAGTGGTCTCTTTTGACCCTTTGGACTTATTTAAAGTGTTTTTTTAATGCTTTAAATTGTCTGTACCAGAAATAGCAGAGACTGAACTCATAGCCAGGCTTGTCGCGAAATACTTTACAGTTTTTGGTTCTGTAAAGTATGTATTTCATGACAGGATCCCCAAAAATATTTACTTTTAAGATCTAGTAATATCTACACTCCTTTTAAGATTATATTCACTGTGAAGGTGTCCAAATCCCTTGTTCATGCCTGGAGAATTTGAAGCCTCTACGTTTCATGCTCCTGACGAGTTTAATTTTGAGGGAATTTCCACATGTTGGGGATTTGGAAAAAGGAAAGATTTTTCTGGTACCGTTTAAAAACCCCATGTGCTAGAAGGATCAGCTTTAGGGTTGCTTATAGGTTTAGAGTTTAAAGAGCATCTCCATGGGGATGGATTAGAAGGTGAGTGATACAGTCAAAAGAATGTGAATAAATTAACCTTCATACAACATATGGCATGCATGCACATAAATATATGCATACAAGCACATACAGATTTACAAATGTGATACTTCTGGATAGGCAAAACTGGATGCAGATGTATATATTTTTAAACTGTCCCGTTGAAAATGTTACCCTTCTAATTATATCAGTAGAAAAGCTACGGGCATTCTTACTAGCGACCAGATCCCCAGCCAATACATTGTGTGTTATACAGATTAAACTCAATTTATTTCTCACTGATGCAGCAGCATTAGTTTGAGTGAAAACCAAACCAAAATGTAACTATCCATTTTTAGCTTGACTCAGTTTCTTTGAAATATGACTTTGAAAATTTGCCTGAAATAGGTACTGTTATTAAAAACCAGTCTGTACGGTTCTTACTCCACACAAAGGAACACTGGCCAGAGATATAGTCAATGACTTCTAAATAATGCTGGGAAGAGATCGGACACAATTTTCCCAGATGAACCAAGCAATAGCCTCATTGCCTCAGCTGCAGAAGACAACACCCTGCCATCCTCACTCTATTGCACCTGTTGCTGTATTACAGGCTATGGCATTGCTGGGATGACTGGAAAAGCATGGAGAATAAACAGACTCGTCTTTCAACTCTCCCTTTCAAGACACAAGCAAGAAGGAATATGCTGATGTTTTCCGTTCAGAGCTAGCAGAAGGAGAGAAGGGCAAATCACTTTTCTGCCCATAAAGTGAGGAACGGTACCAGGAGCATGAGTTATCACCATCAGAGCGGCTCCCACACCAGCTCTAGTACAGGCACTTGAGCACAAGCCCACCACAGGTAAACAATTTAGTCTTACTGATGTGATCCCACTGCTCAGAATCAAAGAATAGTTTGGGTTGGGTGGGACCTTTAAAGATCATCTAGTCCAACCACATGGCTATGGGCAGGGACATCATTCACTAGTTTGGGGGCTTGCAGGAATCAAGCTAACTCTTCAGGATAACACCAGCTGCTGCTGTGTGGGCATTAACAGGGTGGTCAGGGTGGATGTGGGGATGTCTGTGATTGTGCTGTGTCACAAGCCCAGCCACAGCCCACCTCCCTGTGATCCCCCGTGCAAGACAGAACTGCTGCACCCTGCATCTTGGTGGAAAGAAAAGTGCCCTGCGTCATTTAGTAAACATGACTATCCAAGGCATGCTGGCGTAGCTCTTCTGACCTCTCAGTGTTGGTTTTAGTTTGTTACTCTCAGGATGGGTGAGTGAAGACTGCCCAACCTGGTGAAGATGAAGATCAGTGTCTAAAATATATGAGTGAAGGAACCCCATACTTAGGCTAGGCATGCTGGCTAAAAATTCCCAAATGAATAACCCAACTCAGAATCTTTTGAATTTACAAACATTGTAGGAGTCCAGTATTGTCTGCTTCACTAGCTCATTCTCAGAACTCAGAGCAGAGTGGCAGCCCATACCACTACAGAGGTACAACTACCCACAGCTGTTCTGCATCCACCTGAACAGAGCAGAAAGTGTTGAGTCGCTCTTCCACATTTTCACATGTGGCAGTCCTAAGAGAACAAGAAGCTTTCACACAGCTAGAGATTATTTTCTCACAACATGAACACAGTATTACTTCACCAACTAAAATAATTTCCTGAAAATAATGGCAATATTTATAAATCTAAATCAGTACTCCTACATTTCAAAGAAAGGCACTGTATAGGTTGCCCAAGACATCATGAAACTGCTTTTTTGAAATTTAAAATGATACTCTCTTGTAACTTCATCTAAGCTTTTCTTGGGAATGGTAACTATAGTTATATATCCTGAATTGCATTTAAAAATACTATACAACAGATTGTTCAGTAACTATCCAGTAACTTCATCTGAAACCATTGTAACCAGACAGGACTGTAGCTCACATTCCCTATCTGATATTATTTTCTGATAACATGTTCAATAACTCATATTACCAGAGTACGACAACTGGAAGGAACACCAGGGAGCTCTCTGTGAAATAGCCCAGTTTTCATTAGTTATATATCAGCACAATTACTGCAGCATATGAATTCTACATACAATTGTATACTGTGCTTCCCTCCACATCTATCTGTGTTTTTCGGGGTTTATCTTTGTGAAATGAAACGATAACAAATTGTATCAGAATATGCAATTTATGCCCTTTCTTTGGTTGTGTCTCCTTCTTACTTTTAGGCTTTTTTAAAATTGATTCTGAGGAAAGAGTGAACTGAACTGGATAGGACATTTGTCACATCTAAAGTGTTGAAACTCTCCATTTCCACTGTGTTTGATTACAAGATTTCTTCTCCTTGAAGCTGACACAAAATGGACTTCTAATGAAACAAATTATTTGAAAAACATCAAAATAAATAAATAGTAAAGTCTCCCAGACCACATGTTGAGTAAGAGCTATTAAGCCTGTCTGATAATATATTCTTTGATACTGTTTATGATCACAAGTAAAGATACTTACATTTGCTGAAAGTTGAGATGTAAGGGTAGCAACTTTCTCTTGCGATGCAACCAGCTCTCTCCGTAGTTTCTGAATTTGCTAGAAAAAAACAAGACTGCTGTCAGTATTTCAACAGTTTCCTTCTGTTGTGTTTTTTTTTGTTTGTTTGTTTTCTTAATGGATAACTAACAGGTTTATAATGTCTTAGTTTCACATTTTAATCTCAGAATTATTCAGAAATACAAATTGTTAAAAGTTAGCACTTAGGATTGTTCCAAATGTTTTCTTGCACTTAACCAGTCTATGAGCTAGGGACCCCAGTTAAGGGAGCACATATGGGCAAATGCTTAATTACTTCATATGTACAGTCCTCTGTTTGGACATGTAAATGTCATGGTTTTTTACCAAATCCTGTAAATTACAAACATATCCTTAGTGCAGTCAAGGATAGCAGCCCGGCATGAGGCCTGAGATTATGAAACATGAATGAATTTGGGTGAGGTTTGCTGTGCCTGACTGTAGACATAATGCAACCAACATACGTTAAATGTCTACATTAGATTCAGATAAAGTGCCAAAAAGTACTCCCCCGCTGTCTGGCATGAAGAAGGCTTTGATGACTACCTCAGACACAGACTTTTGCTTCATGGGTGTCTAAAATTAGATGAGGTACAGTAATAATTTTTTTCTCTAACACAGAAAATCCTGTGATTCAAACATGCAGTTCTTTAAATGTTAGATACTATTCAAAAACTTTTTTGCCAATTTAAAATAAATGTAGCTTTAAATGTGCTTGTTGACATGAAAATAAACTTCATTCAAGGCTCCTGTATCCTTTAATGAAAAACAGAATCCTTAAGAAAACAATTTGTTTACATTTCAGCTAGGGTAGATATCTAGCATGAAGCTTGCACATAATTTTAAGCTCATTGAACCCTATTTGAAATCTTACAGGGACTCCGGGCATTGCATTGAACTTAAGCACAGCATGGACTTTCACTCTGAAACTTCTTTCATATTCACACATAAAAGAAGTTATTCCAGACTAGAGAAGTAAAATGCATAGAAGTAGCCTAGGAAATGGAGCACATAGCCCCCAACAGGGAATACTGCATGAGCTTTAAGAATGAACAAGTTCCTGTACATCTATGATATAAAAATAGCTAGGTCATTTACAGTAGCTCAGAGCAAAGGAGGCAGATTATTGAGCTGTTCCCCATCCTGGGCTGTCACTTTTCTTTTTTGAAGTTTTCTCTTTGGTTTTCAGTAGGAATTATTTGGCCTTTCTGCTTAAGCTACACTTTCACCATATTCCTGCAACTATACAAAGTTAGTTCTCATGAAGTGCTGTTCAACATCTCCTGCAAGAGCATCACAAAGCAGACCCAGATACTGAGAAAACATCATGTAGAGATATACAGGAAACAAATGTTGTTTCACCTCTATATACAGCCTTATACAAAGGGCAATGAAATGAGGAATTGTCATTTACACTACTGAGCTATGGCATGCTTCTTTAGCTACTTTGCTTTAACTTTCAGAAAAAGAAACGGAGAAAATTCAGGTAGAAATGATATTGAAATATACCGCAGCAAGTAAGGAAGAATATGTTTATTTGTTCAACTTCCTCAAAATATCTTTTAGTTGGCTTTTCTGATTAGTATAGTAAAAATAGGAGCAGCATAAATGCAGGAGTTGGAAGGCATGTAGCTCTGTGAGGTGGAAGTGCCCCCCTTGGTGCTGCATTTTATTACTGTTACTCCTTGGTGCCCTTTTAATGCAACCAGGACTTCATTTTGAGAAAGGCTGTAATTGTATCCAGCTGCTGACCCAGGCTTGTCACCCATTCTTATACACTGTGAGGAGAAAGAAGCTGTTTTCCATGTCAGATTTGATTTATATCTGAAATCTATCTGTGTTGCTCTGAAATCCATCAGTGGTGAGTTTCAGAAATTTAATATAATGCAAAATGTAAGTGAGAGAAGTTCAAAGCGAACATTTGAAGAATTTTTTTCCTAAAAGGCAGCACATTACCTTGAATTGCACAGTCCCTTAGATCTAGTACAGAGCGGCCTTAAGTCTGAAATCAGACATATCATAACTCCACTCAGAAGCCCAATTCTCATCAACTCTTTTCACCTTTTCACAACCTCATTCAGGCAGCATTCTTCAGCACAGTGCTAAGAAAACACCTTCTAGTGCACTAGAAGCTGCATCAGCTTTTTACCAGTATTTCTTAACAAGTGGTTCAAAGACACAAGGTGTATCTTCTCCAGCAACAGCAGTTTAGCCATAGCAGGTAAACAATAAACTTTAAAATAATATAATGAAATACATAAATGCAAAAATGAAGAAAAGTTCTTACCTCTGAATGTGCCTTTTCTTCTGCCTGGAAGAAAACAAAGAAGAGATGGCTTAGAAACACTGTGCCACATAACTGCGGTAATAGGAAATAAAAGCCAGCTACGCTGAAGTGAAATGAATAGCTCCATGGATCCATTACATTTAAGGAAGGTATGCAGTAAAAACAATAAATGGAATTCTTTTCAACTTACTTGGCAAGGCTCCAGATGAAACCCCAAAGATTTTGCCAGCATACTGACAATATGAAACAGTGGATAATGGAAGAACAGGAACAAAACTGCAGAAATTGCAGCTACATTTCTAAGATACAAAAGAAAATTTGCTATGCCGTCACTGCATGGACCTTAGTCTGTTACCAGCAAACTTTTACACCATTATTATTATGGTTCCTGGAGCTATTTTTCTTTTACTGTACACTTAGAAATATTTCTAATAGACTAATCCCTGCTAAAAGAAGCTGACAGCATATCAGGACAACATATATGGGGGGAAGGTTAGGGGAGAGGGGTACTTGCACTTTAAAGTAATTTCTTCCATACAGAGTACTGACCAAACTATTAAGGGCTATCAAGTTATGTTAAAGTTTCAGCTTAAACTTGCTAATAATGTTTAATAATTTTAGATATTTTCCATATTGTTATGTACTATGTCATATATTAATGCCATTTACTTAGCAGTCTTTTTCAACAAGCTAAGAAACTAAATAATTGCAAGGAAAACCTTTGGAAGTCCTTAAATTTGTAAGCATTAGAGTAGTCTAATTTAGGAGGCATTTGGTGGACAGGGAACTCTTACTTTAGTGGGATTCTAATGGAAAGGAATGGCTTGCCATGATGGAGGAAACCTTTCTTAACATAAAATAAGAATCAGTTAATGTACTGGAAATCAATCTACCTCATGACCTGAGGTGGCCCAAGTCCAGACAAGCAGTCTAAGATTGTCTGGAAGACAAGTAAGCAGTAAAAGGAAAACGTGGATAGAAGAATTAGCTATAAGTAACACTAGAAAGGCTTAGAAAACCCAAGGTAAGAGTTTCTCAGAAGATTCTCTGACATCAGGCAGTATCTGTGTTATTTACAAATTAATATAGCCGCGTTTTAAAGCCTGTAATGAGCACAACTTTTGTGATGTTAGAATTTTAATAGTTATAGTAACGTCTTCTTACTTTACCTGGTGTAGAGGGAGAAGACTTAGAAAATACGTCTTTTCATACATGTTCATCTGTTAACAGTCACTAAACAGACTGTGATGCTATGCTATTTCCCTGTGCAACACTTAGAACTGCTCTTGGCTGAAACTACTTTAATACCTGATGCATCACTACATGGAAATGATTTAGTATGATTGTTTTATTTGCCAGCACTGATGTGACACACATACTGATACTAACTTGCTGATCTATGTTCTCAAAAAGGAGATCTGTCTACAGAAACAAATTTATTTCTATTCTCATGATTGTTACTTAAAACATATACTGCATGAAAAGTCACAAAGGGATCAAGAAAGACCATGTCCCCTTAGGAATTCTACTCTGTCAAGAAAAGTAAAAAGATGAAAATGTAGTGTTGGTGACCTTTTCCTGAAACTGCTATGTGAAGATGTGGTCCCTTGTCCTTAGACCACCAGCCCTCACTGATGAAGGCAGTGCTACATGTTGTTACCAGATGACTCCTTCACTGTACAAGGAAGAATTCAGAGAGATGGCTCCCACAAGTCAAGTTTTGTGGGCAGTGGGAGAAGGAAATGAAAGAGAAAGAATGGAATTTTGGGCATGCTGTCAACTTCAAAAATAAAATCTGTCAGCCAAATACATTTGAGCAGTTTTTACTTAAGAGTTCATGCTGACATAATTGCAACATAGCACTCAGCCATTGGTTCAAAAGGCTCTAAAAGGAAATAATTCTTTTTCTCCCTCTAGTTCTCCATGCATCCCATCCTTGTAAGGATTTTTTTTTCTTTGTTTAAAGACTTAAAATATTAACATACAAATGAAATGTCCTTATGCTTCTCTTTGAGCTTGGCTTAGCACAGACAATGAAATTTAGGGATTCTAAGTGTAGCTAAGGCTGAGAGCCAGTGTGAGAAATATAGCAATTAACTAAATATGTGCAAATTGCAGTGTCTCACCTACTGAGCAAGAGGAGATTAAAATTGGAGACAATTTATCATAATTTAGACTACCACACATCTTTTTCAACTTCTCAGAGAGCTTGATATATTCACTGCCAAAACTGAACCAGTATTTCAATCTTATGGTCTGCTAAGTCTGCTTACGTGGCGTACTTTTTGGTGAAACCACATTTGTCTCTCTACATGCATATCTCTACAGGCTAGATTTTCAGTCTGTTCCAGTAACTCCTGAAAACCCAAATGCAAATCAAGAAGAAAACCAATACATACAGAAAATACTAGTGAACGCAGAACTTCTGTCTCGTTGAACTTATTGCAAGGGCAGCAAATCATAAAATGTCTCTTTCTGAATCTCATATTCTAATTCTCAAAGAAACAATCTTCAGAGAATAACTTCAAGATTTTCAGCTATTCTTCGGTAATAATACATGAAGAACCTGATCTTTATTTAGTACTTTTTCTGAATCTCTTCAGAGTTTAGGCTGCAGAAAACCATTAGCACCATGGCTTAAAGGCAATGATTGAGAAGTCTGATAAATATATTTGATTGAGATAGTTACAGAAAGGCAGCTGCTTAAGAATTTCTGCTTAGTGATTTTGAATGCTTAAGAAAGGTAAAAAAGCTCTTGTACTCCTCAAATACAGCAACAGCTGAAAGCGAGGTGCCTGTGTCATAACCCTGTGAAGCCATCCCTTTCTGGAGGAAATGGGGCCCTGCACCATATCATCCAACAATCAAACATTCTCTGCTTTATGTTGATGCGATATCAATTGACAACCTTTCATGTTTCTATACTTCATTTCTGCATCATCTTCTGATTAACTGCTGAAAAGCTTAAATGTTTTTTCACAGGATGAGAGGGATCAAGCAGAAGAAATTCTGACCAAAAATCATCTTTAAAGGTCAATCCTAGTAATTTTGCCATACCAATTCCTTTCTTGCCCTTTACGGATTTTTATGTGACTTCCATTATCTTGTCTACAAAATCCATAACATCAGGAGAGGGCTTAGATGCAATGTGACTTCACAGTCAGACATTTCAGAAGATATTCCACTTACAGTATGAATTTAGGTAAATAGTTTAAAGTTTGTTTTGCAGAAAAAAATACTGTTCTTTAATATCAAGAGGTTTAGGTAATATTTCCTAGATAGTCTGTAATCCTGAATGATAGCAGGTTATATAAGAAGAAAGTATTAGTAAACTCTTGCTACATTACACAATATCAAAGCAGCTATATTTCAGACTTACTGACTGATCAGGTGCTGAAAGCATCCTGTGTTATTTTCTAATTTGATTTTTATGATCTATCAGTTTCATAACATTCTCCTAAAATTTGACATCAAAGCTTGAATTATAGTTTTGGACACACACACACTAACAC